ATTCTTACAAAGTCAGCTGTAGCTCGAGCTCTGCAGCTCTTGCAAATGAATCCAAAAGCCACAGGATTACGCATTGGAGTTAGGACCCGTGGATGTAATGGCTTGTCATATACTTTGGACTTTTGTTTTGAAGGACGCCAACCCGGAGATGAAGTTGTTGAACAAGATAATGTCCGCATTTTCATTGATCGCCGAGCTCAGCTGACGTTACTAGGTACTGAAATGGACTATCAGCAGGACGTACTATCAAGTCAATTTGTTTTTAATAACCCTAATATTAAAGGCACATGTGGGTGCGGAGAGAGCTTTAGTGTATAGATTCTTAATTGTGATCTAGCACCCGTGTGTACTTCCAGATATTAAATTTAATTCAATCTATTCTTTAGTAAATGTTTTCTGTTTACTTATGTTTTTATATTTCATCGTACGAAAGTCATAATACCCAGCTTATAAGAAATATGTTGACTGTTACTTAACAGATAATCACATATTTATTAGAAGTGCACTAAGTTTTTTTACGTATTTCAGTGCTTGTTTGTGTAGTAGTTTATTGATTACAGCACATCTCTAGTTTCAATAACCGGGTAGCATCACTACCACTTCAAAATTGGGATTCAGAGCTGAGTGCACGAATCCTAATATGGTAACTGAGTTTTGTAATTTATCACTATTTATTTTAACACATAGATATTGGTACAAGGAGGCACCAAATACATATGCACCACACAAGTCTCATGAGGGCTGTGGTACTGCCCGGGCTCCCAAACCGAAGCAGGTGGTTTTCTTAGGAGGCCACTACCCGAGCCTTCGACCTGAAGGTCTGATCCACAAGGCAGTGGAGCAACGTCAGGAGATGCACTCCCATGGTAGCCGGTGACCAATAATAGGTTGATACGCCATTTGTTCCCTCAGGATACTGGAGCCCTTGTGCACCATTGGTTTGGAATAAGGGTTTTCCAACTCCTCTAGATGGACCCTCCCTATTCACCAACCCAGTTAAAGCACCAAACATTCGCTTTTCGTTCTTTCAATTTCGTAAACAACACCTCCGTGAAAAGAATTGTGTTAGCAGGACTTCCTTGTGAGTGGCTGTATACACGTGGACATGTGAGAGCATTTCGAGAGGGAGAGCTGACTCTCCCCACTCTCGGCCGTACCAGGGCATTTGGGGTTTCTGTAGTACCAGTCCTGACAATTCATTACTTATTTTGATCTTTTGCCTAGTCACAGCTTATATACTACTGATTTTGAAATTTTATCTCCGAATTCCAACAATGAATTCATCTAGGGCAATATCTCAGACTGCTCTTCGCATGCAAGTAGTTTGGTTGCCGAAATCAGTTTTCATGAACTTGGGATTTACACAACCTAACTCTGTTAAGTCAAGACACTAAAAGCATAGCTTTTCTAATCTCTGGCTCTCATTTGTATACAATCTGAGATTTTGGTCATAAAAGATTGAATCATCTTTATTTTTATCAAGTGGTTACTATGGGATTTAATCTTATTTATGATCTTACTAAAAAGTATGCTTTAGGTCTCAGTTGTTATAGACTATTTATATTTATGTGAACAAATAAGCACATTATATACTTTATCTATTATTCAGAGTGAGACACCGTTCAGAATAGAAAGCCGATGATCCTAAAATTAAACGACATGAAGTAGTTCGAACATACCCAATCTCCCTACTTTGGGGTTTTCCCCAAATCTGGGAATTTGTGCCATCTCCGTAAACCTTCTACAGTGGCTTCCCCAAAATAGAGAAGTTGGTTAAGGTTGAAGTTTGTACCAACTACACGTGCTGTTACTTAAGGCTGTTAAAATGTTCTGTAAAACGATCCCACTCAGCTAAATACGTTGTGTTCTACTCATACTAGTATACCCCCAAATGCCCTGGTACGGAGGAGAGGGCCCGCCCTCCCTTTCGAAGTGGTCTCGCACGACCACGCGTATACAACATCTGCCAGGGAAGTCCTACTCACTGCCTTCTCGTGGCGGGGGTGTTGTTTACGAAATTGAGAGGACGGAAAGCGAATGTCCGGCTCTTTAACCGGGTTGGTGGACATGGTGAGTCCACGTAGAGGAGTTGGGAAACCTTGATTCCAAACCAATGGTGCACATGGGCCCCAGCATCCTAACAAATAGAGTATGAACCAATTGTTGGTCACCGGCTTCCATGGGAATGCATCTCCTGACGTCGCCCCACCGCCTTGTGGGTCAGACCTTAAGGTCAAAGGCTCGGGGTGCGGCCCCCTAAGAAAACCAGCTGCTTCGGTTTGGGCACCCGGGAGATATCACAGCCCACACACAATACTTACGGATAATACTATACTTGCTTCCATTAACGGTCAAACGATCGACATTGTTGTTATTATTATTTACTACGTCATTTATTCACTCCCTTTTATTCCCACTTTATGTATCCTTATTTTTCGACTTATACAGCAGCTCGCTTATGGTGGAAACTCGGTTCTATCTAAACGTTCTCGAGTCACTGCCTGGTTGAAAATTGTATGCTACCACCAAATACGAATACTGAAGCAGTTTTTCTGAAACCACGCGCACCATTCAAACTGGCTGCCTTCAACGTTCGAACTTGAATGCAGGTCGGACAACAGATAGGGCTGGCTATGTCTTTGGAAAGTCGTAATATCGACGTTTGTTGTCTATCCGAGACCCGTATTCAAGACTCTGGTGATGTACGACAAATTCGCTCTCCATGTATCACTTTGAGAGGCTTGTTTTATGTGCGTTTATCGGGGGACCCTGTGGCATCTTCGTCTGGTCTTGCTGACGTTGGTGTCGCACTAAGCGCTAGAGCTGAGGCAGCACTAATCGATTGGATCCCCATTAACAGTCGGTTATGTGGTGTTAGATTAGAAAGTTCCATCAAAGTGAAAAGAAATCGGCGTGAGAAACGATGTCTTTTCGTCATCTCCGCCTATGTCCCGACAGATTGCATGCCGGATGCAATTAAGGATGAATTCTACCACCAGTTAACTGTTCTTCTCCAGAAAGTGCGTTCGACAAATATTGTGGTACTAGCCGGAGATTTGAATGCTCAGGTCGGGCGTCTTCTGTCATACTTCGTAGGTTGTTCAAAACCCGAGAAAGACTGACTCGCGAGGAGCAGACTGGTTTTCGTTCTGGTCGAGGGTGTATTGATCATATCTTCACCCTCCGCAAAATGTCAGAACATCATACCTTCGGTTTGCTGGACAGGACTGTTCTCTGGGATTGTCTATTGAAGGATGTGCCTGAGAAGTTTATTAACATCCTAAAAACCCTATATACAAGCATCTCGGGTAGAATGAGGGCATACAACCACCTCTGTCCATTGTTCCATTCGAGCAGTGGGGTTGAGCAGGGTTGCACAATCTCACCATTCCTCTTTAACTTTGCCATCGATGACATTCTGGAAACAGCTCTGATGGATGTAAGTAATACCGGTGTGGATCTGTTGCCTGGAGAAAGACTTCTCGACCTTGAGTATGGGGATGGTATTTTCTTACTGTGCGATAATGACCAAGGCATGCAATCCGCACTTAATCAGTGTCCGCAGGTACGGTGTGAGCTTTGCACCTTCGAAGTTCAAAGTACTTCTACGAGACTGGCAGGATTCTAATCCTGTACTCACCCTGGATGGTGAGATAGAAGTAGTCGAGAAGTTCGTATATTTGGGTAGCTTAATAAGTGGTGGTGTGAGTGATGAGATCAATGCACGTATAGTGAAAGCCAGAGCGGCTTATGCCAATCTGGGCCATCTTTGGCGCCTTCGTAATGTCAGTCTAGCTGTGAAAGATCGGGTCTAAAACGCGTCGGTGAGAGCAGTTCTGCTCTATGCTTGTGAAACCTAGCCTCTCCGAGTTGAGGATGTTAGAATACTGTGTCTAATCATTGTCGTCTCCGAAGGATTGCTGATATCCAGTGGCAACACCATGTTAGTAATGCAGAGGTTCGGCATCGTGTTCGGGCGCAGAGACGGTAATCCAGCTGGTGTCACCATCTTGAAACATCGACTTCGGTGGCTTGGACATGTTTTACGGAAGTATCCCAGAGAATTCCACGTCGTGCATTACTTGCCGACGCTAGGACTGGTTGGAAAAAGCGGAGAGGTAGTCAGTGCATGACATGGTGGCGTGGTATGCAAGGAAACTGGGCTGAGTTTCGTTGGTCCTTCACGACTCCCTGACTGAGGTCCGAGAGATGGTGCGACGTTATCAGATATGGCTCAAAATAGAAGCCAATGGCGATCCTGCTGTAACCTTCTTTTACTTTCTTCGTAAAAAGTGGTTGTGTCTTCCTTAACTGAAAGATTTCTTCTGGTTGTACTTTTCCGTTTTCCCCATTATTATTATTACACTACCTCACACTAATCTGGTCGTTATTGTTCTTCTTTTTTTCTTTTACGCTCCTTACATTCTTTTTCTCTTGTCATTCTCATTGTTTTGTGTGGCGCATATATATTTGGTGCCCTCTTGTACCAATATTTATGTGTTCAAATAAAAATAATTCATACTTGTATTCTCGTTAAAATACTGCCCTGAACTGTACCTACCAACATGAAAAACTGATAGTTGTTGGTAACACAATTGGGTATCTAGAGCTTGGTCTTATGTTCTGCAGTAATGCAGATATGTACGTTAAAATTGTACGACGGATTATCAGTCGGAAATCCTTGAAAAGTCAAGTCAAATAGTTAATTGCAATGTTATTCAATATGATAGATAAGCAAACTTCCATTCAATTTGATAAGTTATATAACACATCTATCTACCAACAAGCATGGTAAATCCTCACAACTTTTAGTATCATTCAAGAATTAACCGAATTTTTAAAATAATTACATGCAGTGAGGTTACAGTTCTTAGAAACAAAATGCAAGACTACATAGGAGGTAAAAAAAATTATTGTAAATATTAGATCAAAATAAGTGGCAAGGCGAAGCTCTCAGCTGGGACTACAAAGGAAATTCATGGCGATAAATTCCCACAGCTTCATGCACCTAAAATATCGGCTGCTGGACCGGCTGGACACGATCGAGAACACTTGCGTTGCAAATCCGAGAACGGGCGTCCTTGTAAGAGACAGACCAAAACGACAGTCATGTTATCGCAGCCCAAACCATTTGTATGACAGTCAGGTGCTAGACATCGCATCATAAGTTCTTCACATACCTAAGAACAATAAAATGTGTGGTTTAGTATGAACACAAGCAAGAGGTCTTATACTTTTCGAGGTATCTTGTTAAAATGGCTATATTTACCAGTATCCCAAAAGGACATTAATTCTCAGAGTAATTAGGCATAGAATGAACAATCAGTTCAGACCCTCTAATTTCTAATAGTTAACAATACGCATATATACACTCGCTCGCACTATTCATTGTATCGTAATTAATTTCTAATGCAGAAATTATAACAGTATGACTTGCTATTTTTCACTTTTTTGTGATATAACTGATTGTTTACAACATTTCCCCCCCTACATGTACATTAAGATAATACGTTAATAAGATTAATCACGTTATTTCAGAACCAGTATTCGCGATCCAAAAGAGAACTAGGTTAACACTAGAGAATACTTTATGCAATACAATTACAAGCATTCACATACAGTGTGTCCAGAGTAGAGATCAAAGATAAAAAGGAAAATCACATATTTAATAGTCCGTAGGCTATTGCTGTTTGTTCACGCTCAACAATCAATCATACTTTACTTTCACTACCACACATCAATTGAATTTATACCGCTTACAACATTTCTATTTCTACAAAAATATGCGTTTTGGTAGTACATCCATTAAAAGTAGGAAATACTTCAAAGCTGTAGAATACTGGCATTTACCAGTGCATTGATTAATACTGGCAGTTCTGTCAAAATTAAATGTATTGTCACTGTAATCAGTTCAGATAAAATTTGGTGTATTAAATGGCTGTACTTTTCAGAACACTCAGTGATAATGAACCATATTTTCATATACTGTTTGAAATACAGCAGCTTTTTTATGACACGGAAACTAGGTATTTTGTATCAATTCATTATAAAGGGAGGTTAATCACTAAACTGCTTATTGATCTAAAAAGACACTTTTAAAGAGTCTGGAACATACAGATCTTAATTCTACAGCACTTTTTGAGAAATTTCGAAAACGAATTCTTATGTCGATATGGTGCTTTAATTAAAAAGTGTATTACTATGTAAAATCTTACTTTAGATGGAAGCATACCATAACTGAGTCGCAGACGAATAAAGCTTACAACTTCCTGATTTGTCATTACATCCCATATACCATCGCAACACAGTACAATAAATTCATCATCTTCGACTGAAAGTCGTCGAACAAAAACGTCCGGATTTGCAGTTACGATTTGGTTTTCGGCAGACTGGTGTGGATTACGCTTGAAGACAAAATCCCCGAAAGCTCGTGATAGTGCAAGGTTCCCATTCACACGTTTTGCATCGACCCAACCACCAGCAGCAGAAATACGTTCTTTCTCAGCACGCAGAGTTGGTTTGTGATCTGTAGACAAAGGTTCTGCGACACCACGTCTGCTACATACTGCACGGCTGTCTCCAGCATTTCCACAGTAAAGCATTTGATCTTTCAGTAGGACTATTATTCCAGTGGATCCAGCCAATTCATCACCTGGATTTGGAATTTTCAAAGAGAAGCTTGTTGTACTGTCATTGTGGGTTTCAACAGTACTATCTTTCACTGCTACAACTGAACCAGGAGCTGTTAAATTAACTGAGCTGTCTAATTTCGGTGCCGATGATTTAACAGAATATGTGGTCATTTCAGATTGCATCTCAGCATCCATAGAAAGAAAGGCATGACGAATAGCCTCTTTTATGTCGTTCCGACCTAAAAAGGACAAGTTAACGGCTGGTTATGTATCGAGATCCTTTTAAGGATATAGTAATATCTGGTGACCAAATTATTGTTTGATTTCCACATATTCGCTTCCACTTATGTAATAAGGAAAAAAACAAAAAGTATTTTACTTAGAGGTATAAGTTAGTGAGAACTGCTTCATAGCTTTGTACTACCTTATTATCCAACAGTAAATCAATCGTTCGGTTCTTTAAATTAGGATGTTTCATTGTAGTTCTACAAATGGGAAAAGTCCGAAATCATCGTTCGCTCAATTTGTGGTGGGATAACATCCACCTAATCTCACAGCTTAATAGGACTGGTGGAAAATTGCATAGTAATCCCATAAACATACATGAGTTAGTCAATCGGTTAATGCAATGACCAGCTTAGTTTCTAACCCTAATCCAGGTCACTCGAATGATACTGGGGATGTCGTAGTTGGTTTTATTTATTTATTTATTTGAATACATAAATATTGGTACAAGAGGGCACCAAATATATATGCGCCACACAAAACAATGAGAATGACAAGAGAAAAAGAATGTAAGGAGCGTAAAAGAAAAAAAGAAGAACAATAACGACCAGATTAGTGTGAGGTAGTGTAATAATAATAATGGGGAAAACGGAGAAGTACAACCAGAAGAAATCTTTCAGTTAAGGAAGACACAACCACTTTTTACGAAGAAAGTAAAAGAAGGTTACAGCAGGATCGCCATTGGCTTCTATTCTGAGCCATATCTGATAACGTCGCACCATCTCTCGGACCCCAGTCAGGGAGTCGTGAAGGACCAACAGAGGCCAGCCCTTTGCAGCTTTCTTTCATACCACGATGTTGTAGAGAACAATATTGACGGAGATTGTGGCAGGCTAAGATTGTGTTTATCATCATACGTTGCAACCACAAAGTGTTACATGTAGCCATTTTAGGAAGAAATAGATGAGTTTTATAACTATTGTATATTCCAGTGACATTTATAATATTACTATCAGGATGAATGAATCCAAAACGTTACAGATAAGTACTAGATATTCGCAGGGGGTAATTTTAATAACTAAAATGGCTACCGACGTGTCTAATACTGAATTGGTTTTTAGACAGATAATGAGGAACGACATAGATATCATTATATACAAACATATAAGCAAAAATCTTAAGTTAACTGAAACACCCTGTTAGTGAGACAGAGACTGGATTAAATCATGCTCCATGCACGATTGCGTTGGTGCTCGCTGATTGCTTAATTCTTACCCAATCAGCGCTAGCCGATGCTTGGAGAACATTCTAGAGTATTCCCCTGAAAAAACTATAAATATGCTAACGTTTTTCTTATTGTGCTTCTTACTTCGATCTACCCTTGTTATTTGAAATATAATTCCCTATCTGTTCAATCGCCTTCTGATTTGAGGACTTGTCGAGTGAATTGGTGTTCAAGAATACTATGAAATAAGAATAGATGAGTTGTAATATGAGAGAATTATAACACACCCATAAAACCTAATAGGTATACATCCTATGGTTCAAGTGTTGAGAAAGAAAATCAAGATATCAACAAAACTGTTATGAGATAAAATTAACATTTCTTTGGCTTCACATATATAAAACAGCTATTAAGCCAGGAATTTCAACGTGAAAAATACGTGTACTGATGCCAACCGTTTGTGACAAAAGGAAATAACACCAGATTAAGTCCTAGCCTCGACTTTTATAGACCTCGCTTTTTCAGGCAGATTTTAAGATGGATATAATGAATGGTGGAAAAACTACGGATACGGTTTGAGAGAATAACCGAACCACAAAGCCTAACTGCGTGCACCTACATCAAGTAGAGATTTATTCAAACTTTGCTTGTGATCGAAATAGCTTTCTATCCGTTCAACTTAGGTATGCATTACCCTTAAGGTCTTATACGTGATGCACTCGTATGCTATTCTAATATTTCGCAACTTGGACGTCAATAAAACGAACAAGACGACTTCTATTCTCTTCTTATTTGCCGCCTCAAAAACAATGAGAAGTTCAGCTTCGTAATGGAAGCTTTTCTGATTATAACCTCAGTATAATTAAAAAGTCAGTTTAGGTAACCGGTTATATATCGGTTAAAACGATCAGAATTCATAAACTGAGTGACTGCCATAAAAAACAAATCAGAGCGAAGACCTATTGAAGGTTCAGAAGCCAATGTTACGAAAATTAATTAAAAGTTTACCTGACCCTCACTTTAAATTGATATCAGCCTACAAAAAGTCACATGTAGTCCTAGTTACCAACATTTTTGCTATATGTATACGGTATTCATCAATATACTTTTCTTTCAGAAAGTATGACAACTGTTATTCATGTGAGGTCACTACAATATATGTAGACTAATTCAAGCTATTAACTATCATAAATTGAACCTGACAATTGCTACAGATGAGCAAATTACATATTTCAACGAGTATCAAATCAAAGAAAGAAAAATAGGCACATCAAATACTTTCCTAATTAGCATGCTTTTTCTAAAATCGATCCATATGAGAAAAAAGACTTACTATATTCAATTTGTTCAAGAATTTTCTCGTGAAGATGACGACTTGCATGATTTGCCACTCTTGTACCTCCATGTCCATCAAAAACTGAGAAATAGGCAGCCTTTGGATCACCAGGAAGCTCTAGTAAACACATATGAGCGTCTTCCATATGTACACGCCATCCTTGCATGCTGGATACTGCAACACTATAATTTTCATTCTGCCAGCTCTTCGTTTCCTTGGATAGAACAGGAGCACATAAAGACTGACCCATTTACGCCAAATAAAGAACACTACAGTTGCCTTTCGTACTGCTTCATTTAACTAGTTATTATGGTCCGGTTTACCCCTTACACCTACGCTACATACGCTTGACGGTTGTGGTGAGACGATGTTCTATAAATGAAGAAACAAAAAGCACATGATAAGTAGAATAGAATTTTAAATAATTGACGAGATATTAATAGTGAATGAACTTAGCTGTCATGGATCCTTGTAAGACAAAACCTTTCAGGTGTTCGGCGGTAATCTTCCCTTAGGGAAACGCATTAATGAAGATTCTATCTATTTGGCAATGTGAACATAAACTACAGTGACTACTGGAGATCAGTCGTACAGAACATTTTTTGAAATATTTAACTTTAATGTGGTATAAACTGGTATACTTCTAACACGATTACTAGCAGAGGAATCACGTGGTTAAGGGTTTATGGATTATCTTTTAGATTAAGCTCTGTTTTTGAGAAGGCAATATGGGTGGGTAACGTACTGATGCTGCTAAAGCACAGTGCAGACAGTGGCTCAACGTTCAATAAGAACCTTGTCTTTACTACTACTTAATCAACATCACAATAAGCAAACCATGACAAGTTGAGACGGTAATGAATTAATTTTGAAAAGTAGTAATGCTTTTAAGACATGTATGTATATACGTTTGACCAGTGACACAGAAAACACTCACCTTTGTAGTACAGAAGCTAAAGTTGATATCAGTGCGAGGACTCTAGAAGTGTTACTCAGTACATTACCGAAGCAGTCGAAACACCCAATAGGTTTGAAGAACACCTTCAATAATCTGGTATGTGAAACAAGGTACAGATACTTGGTGAATAATACCTGTTTTGTTAGCCTTACTAGTATACGTTTTGAATTAATGGAAAAAATAATTAATATTGCCAGTCTACATCACGCGGAAAGGGTCAATCATTTAGCCATAGAATTTATCTTTCGGGTGTTTCATTAACATCTGACTGGTTGATCATCGTTATAACTCTACTGGTATCCTTATATAATAGGGAAGTGTGTTGTTGCGTTTAATTAAAAAGCGTTACCGAAACTTCGAAAAACCCACGAAAAATGGGAGTTAAAAGCTTTTGTGACAATTGTGTTTTCATCTAAACATAGTAAGCAGAACTACCTGTAGATGCAAGAGACTTTAAACAGTCTGTAACGTGTAGCGGTTTTCGTCTAGCCAGAAGGTGCGTTACGTACTAGGGAGCCAGAGAAGCGTGAGGGCTAATAAAAAAATAAAAAGTGAATCGACGACCCAGAAAGTGCAAACAAACCACCAATATTTATTAAAGACAGGAATAAACGAAGATCACTAATAACGCTGTCCTCAAAATATGACAAGCTTGGGATCAAACAAAAAGTAAAAGCCTATCATGCCACAAACACAGTAATCTCTGCTTGATTGCTGGGACAATATGCTCACTTCCAAATACCTTAAATGAAGGATTGTGAGTAGTAAATTACTGTGTAAACACGTATCGACGACAAACGGTAATCATTTAGACACAACATGAAGAGGGAGGCGATGTAGCACTTTACGCGATTATAATTATAACTTCTGAATAATGGGGCAAATAAATAATTTCATTGTTCCAAATCTGAAAGAGATTGCACGAAAGCGATTTGGAGGAGCCTGTGAAGTATTATTAAACAGTTGCTAGATGAACTGTATAATTGGATTTCGCAGGCAGGTGGGGTGTGGATGTGTTAAGATTCTCAGTGTGAGTCTTGTGCAGCTGAGCATGAGTATGAAATCGAATCCCGTTACGAAATAAAATAGGTAAGATAAACCAACGACCTCTAACAAGAAACACTAGTAATCTGGCCACAAACCAAATGGCATTTTAAAACACTCAGTTTTGAGAAAAAATATACGTGCCATTGAAAATCGAAAAATATGTGTTTGCGTTCCGAATGGCTAATTTTTGCGAGCATTTACTTTGCAGTCAGATTCATGTAGTCTCCCACATGCATGTACTGTGATCCGTGATAACTGAGCCATTTAAGTAAATGATTATTACCATTAATAGTAATGATCATTGTTGTTCCTTTAGTGCGATTCATTATTATTCGCATCAATCAGTCAAGAATTAACACCACTGACGTTATGCTACCGGTACACAGTTATGAAAATTATAATCTAAGTTGATTTCCTGACCTCCACACTGTCAGTTAGTATGTACATAGAGCAAAAACCTTTGCACGGCACTGAAGTGATCCCTCCTTAAATTACATTATTATTAGACGAAATCCGAAGTCACACTAGATCAATTTAAATTAACCTGCAGTTTAGCATAAACTTTATCAACAAAATCTGAGATTCATATTTTCGCAGCCTGTTGCATCAAGTTTATTATCGAAACTTTGTCAATTATAGTCGCATCACTTTTTTCATCAAAAATCTTTTCGTTGTCGAACATTGTCTACGTTTTTGATGTACTTTGTTTTGAATCAAAAGGCAAAACACTAGCTTTTGGGCATATACCTCAACAACTTGAGGTCATGACCTTGTGTATCGGCAATACTGAATTGTACGGCCGATAATGTCAAATTTGCTAGACAAGGTTAGCGGAGGATTCGCTTTTTCTGAATTGCGTCCAGGAAAGAAAGAGCATTCTTGCTGAAGGAGATTTATAATTCTTGTGATGTTTCATTTATACCTGAAGGACGATAGCATTAGATAATGATTAGAAAAGTAGTCAATGAGTGCTCTCTTGTCAGTGCCTGCTGAAGTGTGTTGTTAAAAGAAACAACAGAAAAGTATTCACTGTCGCATGCTGTGAAGAGTTTCAAAAACACAAAAACGTTTGCACGAATTTTGCCTGTACTTTAACAGTAAATAAATTCAAGAGATAAATAGTTCAGTAAGTCTTCGACATTGATGCTGACTTCGTTAATTTACCTGGACACACTAGTTGAAGGCGTTCGACCACACATCCATAATGGATGGTGATTGAGTACATCGTAAGTCGAATCCTCGCGACAACTAGCTAGCATGGTTCACTCACTTTTCGAAATACCGACTGCTATTCAAATATAACTTCGAATTTCTTCATTCCTGACTTCTGGTATGACTGGATTTGATATTCTTTGGTTATGAAGGCCCAACCATCGACACAAATCAATCACAGTGGTATTCTACAACAGGAACAATTTTTCCATCTGGGAATTAATTCAGTTCATGTTACTAACGACTCGATAACTTTGTAGCGGTAAATAAATCCCCAAAATAAATAGCTGTGTAAATCATCGACATTTGATGCTGATCGCATTAGTTTTAATGCACTCACCTAGCTGAAGGCACTCGGTAACTCATCCACACTAGGTCACGATTGGATGCTCTTTGTTTTGCCTCTCCTACAACTGTTAGCCAGCTTAGATTAGTCACTTCTCGACAAATCGATAGCCTATCAAATATATCTACGAAACTATTCGCTTCTGACTTCTGATTTCACTGGGTTGGCATATTTCGATTATAAAAGGTGTTGCTTGTTGGAGTGTTGTCAAACTCCGAATACTTGTGGCTTGTTTAGCTATTAACTTACTAATCTGTCATTTGGAATACTCATGTAGGCGTAATTTTCTTTATATACGCAGACAGCATTAGTAATTTCGCTGGTCTCCCGAAGTATATAGCGATATTCACGGGTTGACTGCTCCTACCTTTGACTGTTTTCCTTATACTTTACACTTTATACTCCGTATGCTCATGGATTTCAAGAATATTCTGTGCAGTTTTAAGACGTGAAATTGAAAATGAAAACTAGTTAATAAATATTGGGAGACATGAAATACATTAAAAGGAACATATCAGTTACACTGTTTAAGCATATTGTCTCAGTAGCATCTTCATTGTTTACGCAATTACATCCCAATATTAAGTAACAATTTACTCTCTGGAGCAAAATTCAAGTTTGTTAGGGTGAGTATGGAAAAAAAGGGCAGGTACTATTATTCTCTTCAGTTATAAAGAGGAATATTAACGCGCACAACTATAATGTATCAGTTTATTGTAGATAATTTCCGACTAATCTTGTTCATGCAATTACGACCTATGAGACAAAGAAATTTTGAGCCATTTCCAGAATTGTGTGAGTTTCGAGTTAAATTCAAAAACTGTATATATTTGCATATATGTATATATAATCCAGACGATTCTCCCTATGGCTTAACTATGAATTGACTGTTCACTTGATTTCGCAAAAAAAATTTGTGAGAAATGAAATATAGGAATTTGTCTTTAAAGTTTCTTGCTTGAGGATCATTCTGTGCATCCTATTTAGCCTAGAAGCTGGCTTGGTACATGTGCAGCACAATTCTACGTTCAAAATGTTAAACGCAGAGATTATGTGATGATTGGTAGTATTTGAATTATTGTACGAGCTGGTAATTTCCGAAACAACGCAATCCAAGCCACAAATAACTGGGTGAGCACAAACGAATGTATCGTGCTTCGAATTCAAAACCAGGCGGTCATCAAGTACAAAAGAATCATTAGTTTACACAAGCACCACATATTACCCAAGTACGGTCATAAAATTAAATACTTTTAACGTCTTTGATTAAAACGTCTAATTTAATCGTCAATATGAGGGAAAAACGAACGACACTTGCTCTTTACATTGGCATAGAAAAATATTTTTCACAGGATTTTAGTCACCAACCCCATTCACTCAGTTAGGTAATCGAATTTCCAATAGCAATACACGTTTCCAACAAACGGGAAACGTTATTTGTTCCTCGTAATAATTGTGAAACCAGTCAATCAAATAGTAGCTATCAATAAAACAGTTAATAAATATGGTAGCCACCGGAATCCAGTGACTGAATAAGAAATAATTAAGACAGTAAGAGAAAAACCGAAAAACAAAATTTCATGCAAAATTAATGATGGTAATTTTATATCAACCAAAAAAACGAAGTGAATATGTAGGGATAAAGACATCAAAAATTCCAAGTTAACACAGTGTACATATTTTATAT